TTGTTACTAGTAGCTTCTAGCTACTAGTAGTAAGGCACTTGTTCCTAATAGCTTTGGTTACTACTAGTAAGGCACCTGTTACTACTAGCGTGGCACTTGTTACTAGTTGCTTTCACAGATGTCTTTCACATCATGCGTGTTGTGGCTATATGTTTTGTCAATTCGTGCGTTGTTGTGTTGTCTCTTGTTGTTTTTGGCATTGTGAGGTGTTTTCTTTGGCGTCATTATGGGAGTCAATGTTTGTTGTTTGTCTTGTTTGTCTCTTAGTGCATATTGTGAAGTGTCATTTTAGGTGTTGTTATTGAGCGTGCCACTTTGTTGTGTTTTGTGGAGTTTGTCATCGTGTGTTTGTCACATTGTGTTATTGTTTACTTTTTGTTGTCATGTTTGTCATCGTGTGTTGTCAGGTTTGTTTGGTGTTGTCATGATGTGCCTCCTTGTTTGTTGTTTGGCCTTTTCCCCAAACAGTTTACTGTTTGGGGTTCTCTAGTAGGTTGGAGGCCATCGCTGGTTGTTTGCAGTTGCGGTTCTTTCTTAAGAAAGGTTGGCCACGCGCCATCTGCGCTTGCTTCGCCGCCTTGTCCGAGCGTGTCCTGCCATAGGAACACAATTGCATACGTTTCCACCAACATTTTAGGGCGTCTATGCTGGTAGAAGCTAGCACACTACTAGGGGCTCTTAGCATCGCTACTAGTAGCGTCCTTGCTCCTAGTAGCGATCTATGTTCAATGTGTTTCTTTACTTGGGCCTTACTTCACTTTTCATTGTTCCTTTTTGTTTCATTTCTCGTCAAGCCTGTCCGTCAATTTTTCGTGGACCCGTAGAATGACATTTGGACCGCGGTCATGCAGAACCCAAGGTCTATTATACAGGCTGTGGCCGTCGCCGCTTCTGAAGTTGCGGGGCTCAACCCTCGTCAACAATTGGGACCGCGACGGCTGGCAGGAAAGCTGAGTAGCCTGGCTGGTACACATGTGACTTCGGGCACCAACACGCCAATTGGCGTTTCTGCGCCCAAAAGGCGCTTGTGCTGCGCATGTGGTCATCGCTTTTAGGATTCTTAATTTTAGGCCATCGCTATGAGGTTGGACGCCATCGCTACTAGGGTGCAGGTCATCGCTCTTAGGCTGGATGCTTTCAGGATTCTTATTCAGGCCAAATTTGAATCGAAAAAGGTCTTGGCATCAAACATTTGACGCTTTGGTGGCACTGGCTCAGGGGAGACAGCGTGACCTTAGGCACATGAATGCGCACAGACACTGAAAACACTGGAGGCAGCAAGCCCACGTTACAAAATACTAGTAACAAGTGCATCGCTAGAAGTAGCTAGAAGCCTAGAAGCTACTAGATCCAAAATACCCAACATTTCAAAACAAACTTCTCCCATCCATGCGCCACAAGAGCGAGAGGTGAGCGGTGAACAGGTGGGATCAGCATGTGAAGGTGAAGCGGGAATCCGGTCTAGGTGAACAAGTGCCTTACTACTAGTAGCAAGAAGCGAACGTAGAAACAAGTGCATCGCTTCTAGTAACAAGTGCCTTACTAGTAGTAACAATGTTCGCTACTAGGAAACAAGTGCATCGGACCTTTCTTAGGTTGGAGGCCATCGCCAGTAACTCCGAAGATCTGTTTTCGGCAGGAGATCTTTGGGATCGATGAGTATTACAGCAGTACTTGACCTGATCACTTGTGCCACTGGGCTGAAGCTGGCTGAAGCCACCTCTCTAGATTCCACAGACCCCTAAGGCTCAGGCTCCAAAGCAATGGTGTTGCAAGGAGAGTGTCTGCTTCCGAGCTTTGAGCTTTGCCCCGTCCAGTCGCAACCTGCGAGTCTAAAGCCGAAGTCTTGGCTCTCCTTAAGGATGGAAGTTTTTCAAGCATCCTTCGAAAGCTGTCCAAGCCGCAGACACTTTTTGGCCTTTGTTCATTCAATTCTGCTAGTAACAAGGTGCATCGCTACTAGTGGCGCTACTAGCATGAAAGAATCTTGCCTAAAACTATCTTCGTTCAATTGAGCCTCAACTACCGAGGCCCTGGTCTTCAACTACCGAGGATGGACATGCAAATTGCATCGATTTGAACAGGACTCTTTTGAGAAACGGCCTCTTCCAGCGTGCACAGGACACAGATGACTCCGAAGATTTCGATTGCTGGGACCGGTATTTTCCTGCAACAAACAATCAGGGAAAAAACACAGCTTCTTTGGAGTTGGCGATGGCCTCCCTAAGAAAGGTTTCGTGTAGCAAGAAGCTACTAGGGGCTCCTGGCCATACTACTAGGAGCAATGTTGGCTATTAGAAACAAGAATTCAACACTAAATTAGAATAAGTAAAACTATTTTTTTTATTTGAGCAAAGGGCATCGCTACTAGGAGCAAGGACGCTACTAGGGGCTCCTGGCCTTACTAGTAGCAAGAAGGTATTAGTAACAAAACTTCATTCCCAATGGAGACTTGAGACTCCGAGGTCCCGAGTTGGAGTGGAAGCCACCTGTCATGTGTGCAGACGGCTCCAGATACACCGGCCAGTGGTGCGGAACTTGTTTGTGGCATTTTTTGCGGCCAACCTAAGAGCACTGGCCTCCAACCTAGTAGCGTCCTTGCTCCTGGTAGCGATGCCAGGAGTCCCTAGTAGCTTCTTGTTCCTAGTAGTAAGGCCAGGAGTCCCTAGTAGTGTCCTTGCTCCTAATAGCAATGGCCTCCAATCTACTTGTTTGTTGCATTTCGCAAGTGTCATTGCAAACAGACCCTTTAGGAGAGGCAGCACTTGGCAAGGAGAGGGTCAGTCAGGATCCCGAAGTGGGCTTGTTCAGACCTAGTGGTGTTTCCATTCAGTTTGCAATGCTATTCTTGTGTCTTCACCATGTGCTGTGGTGCACAAGTTGTCATGCTTGCAAAGCATTATGCACCAACCCGTTGATCTTCATAACGAAATCAGCCAATAGACTCTTTCCAGAGAACAGTTTTGTTTTCCTTCCTTCGACACTTTCTCTGAAACCAGGCTTGAACGCGCGGATGGCAGCACCTACGAAGGTAGCGCCGGCAGGATTAACATATCTCCCCCGAAATGGTCCTCAAAGGCAGAAAGAAGGAAAGGTCTAAAGAAGAAAAGAACAACAAGACAAAAGAAAAAGACCAAAGAAAAAGGGAAACCAACACATAACAAGAAGAACACTTAAACTGTTCAGGGTAACGTTGTGAACTGCTCAAGGAAGCTTCAGAGATGGCAAGCCTCATGGAAAAGGCTGTTCGGTGCTTACAGTGCTTGCAGTGCTCCTGTGCTCTTGCACTGCTCTTTCAGTGCCTCAAACCTAAAAGCAATGGCCTCCAACCTACTAGTGGCCTCTACCCTAAGAGCGATGCTTGCTGTCAGCATCACGTGCTTTCGGTTCGGCCCCCAAATCACTCATCATTCCGCCCAGGTCTGAAAGGTTCAGATGGGAGCGTCTACCAGGCAGATGAATTGAACCCCCTTTGTCTTGAACACATTGTAGCTTCTTTGTTCCTAGTAGCTTCTTGTTACTAGTAGTAAGGCCAGGAGCCCCTAGTAGCGTCCTTGCTCCTAGTAGTGAGGCCAGGAGCCCCTAGTAGCTTCTTTTTTCTTAATTTTCTTTTGGCATGGGTTTCTTTTGGGGTGTTGCTCTTTCTTTAGACTCACACGATGGTGATCGTGGTCCGTTGGAAACTGAAACCTGCAGGGCCAGTGGCGCCAAGGAAGGGCACATGGCGAGGGAAAATACACCAAAGCAGTCACCTGGAGAAAGCATGGTGGAGAAAGCATCTTTAAAAGGGAACCTTAATTATAGCAATGGCCTCCAACCTAATAGCAATGACGCGGAGGAAGCTTTTTGCTGTTCGTGTGGGGTCCAAGCACCTACTTTTTAAGCCACAAAAGAAACTAGTAGCTTTATTGTTACTATTAGTAAGGCCAGGAGCCCCTAGTAGCGTCCTTGCTCCTAGTAGCGATGCCCTTTGTTCCTAGTAGCTTCTTGCTCGTAACAAGCCGAGGGCAGGAACAACGTTGTTCAAGGATCGCTTCCTAGACTTTGAGGGGAATTCGCCATGAGGATCATGCCATTTGGACCACACAATCCGTGACACCTTGCCAATAGAGGCCCTGTGTCGTGGATTGTAGCATCTTCACAGCACTGCTCAAGTAGCATTCCATGTGCATACGATGTGCATTCACACTTGAAGTAGTAGAGAGGAGCCCTGTAAAGCCAGGATTTAGCAGACTGAGACTGCTATGCCATTACATGTTGGTTCCGTGTATATTCTGCCCACCTACCGGCTTGAGAAAGTGCTTGCTCCGACTCCTTTTGCGCAAATTCAATAGAAACTGGGACAAGTAAGTGCCGTGTGCTTTTGGGTTGATTTTCCGTGTTATTTCATCAGAAAAGACGGTTTTTCTTTGGCTTATGTGAGGCACTTCGGATATTGGGTTTGCAGGAAAGCGCGTTGCGCACGATGCAGGTCGATTTGTTTTCAACTGATTGCCGTGATCATAGTAGATAGATAGAGAGAGATAGATAGATAGATAGATAGATAGATAGATAGATAGATAGATGTAGTTACGGCCCCGTAATGTAAGATGCACCTCAGTCCGTCTGTTCCGCAGTGTTTGGGCTTCAGCTATTGCGGTGCATGGTTTGCACTGTGTGTGGCCTTTTCGAAGGCCCCTTTTGCCGCGCGTGCCGCACCCACAAAAGGATCCGAGAGCTCCTTTGCGGATTCCTACTGTTGAGGTCTCAGGTCGAGGAGACCGTACAGATCCTGCGCACCGCGGCCGGGGCCCTTCTGGATCTTGCTGAGGAGGCGGCTCCGATCCTGGCGAGGGAACGAGTTGAGGCTAATCCTGCAAGCTACAATCCTGGACCAGAACTTGATCCCCGTCTTCCACCGGTTGATCCGGGAGCAGCGGCTCCTAGCGTTGTTACATTGCCTGCGGGTGACGCTGGTTCGGGGAGCAGGTCTGCCCCTGATCTCACTGAGGTCAAAGCGGAGCCGGATACAGAGAGCAGAGCTGGACCACTAGCAGAGGTTGTGGGTGATCGGAAGGACGACTCGGCCGAAGGGGCCCGGGGTTCAGCAGAGGTTGCACCTGGCCAGGAGCAGGCTGCTGAGGGTGAAGAGGTTGTCAAAAAGAAGAAGAGAAGGAAGCGCAAAAGCTCGCAGGAGCCAAAGAAAAAGGAGAGGAGCAAGAGGAGACGGCGTGAAGAGGAGCCTGTTGAGACCAGAGGTGCATCCACAGCTGCACCCCCAACAAGGGCACCCCCCGTGCCCGGACCAGACCTGGATTGCAGCCGGCACCAAAGCCAGCCCCATCCCTTCCAAGTCGGCTTGCCCGGCTACCCTTGCCACCGCCGGCACCAGCCAGATCCGGGCCTGTTGAGCCCGACCATCCACCTCCTACGCACAGGAGTCAACAAGCGGGTCGACGACCCAGGACGCGGGACAACAGTCCTCGGAGAAGACACCGCGGCACTAAGGGTGTGCAGCACCGCCTGCGGGGCTACTACTACGGTCGACGCTGATCACCATGGCTCCCAAAGCCAAAGCAAGAGGAAAAGCAGCAGCCAAAGCAAAGCCCAAGGCAGCGATGCGGGTGGCCATGAGGAGAGTGGTTGCTCGACGCCCTGCGGGAGCTCCGGCTGTGTTGGGAGCTCCTGGGGTGTTGGACCGTTGGCGGTCTGGCGAGGAGGTCGGCTTCAGCGAGATCGGACTGGAGGAGTTGGGCCGTGGCGTGAAGATAGTTGTGACCAAGGGGTCATACTATACCGCGGAATGTCAGGCCGCAGGAACTCTGGACAGCATGACGGTGGAGTCCGGGGAGGTTCACTTGGGCCTGAAGTTGAGCGGGACCACGAACGAGAGCCTCCTGCGATACGCCACCGGTCAAGCAGGAAAGATGGTGAGGTGCCATCGGTGCACTCCCCTGTGCACTGGAGAGCGCGTGTCGGACGACCTCCTACACGTGAGCCGAATGAGGCTCATGAGAGATCGCGAAGAAGAAGACGGATGGACTCACAATCTCGTCATCGTCGACGCCGGCGAAGACGATCTTCGGGAAGTCCGGGCCCGAGCCGAGGCGAAGGACGAAGGCACCGGAGGGAAAGAAGAGCGAGGCCTGAAAGAGAAGACCGCCAAGTCACGGTCACGCCGGAGGAGGTCTCACGAGCGTGGGCGCAGCAAGAAGAAGAAGACAAAGGGCAAGAGGCGGAAGAAGAAGAAGGAGAAGGACCAGGCCTCGAGGAGCAGCGGAAGCAAGAAGCGGTCGAAGAAGGAGAAGGCCGCTGCAGGAGTCAAGGCAAGGCCAACTTCATCAAGCAGTTCGAGTACGATCAAGTTGGACGGTCGACACGCTCGCGGTGCGGCAATCAAGCCACTTGCAGCACTGTATGGGGGGACTGGTTTGGACCCCAAGGAGCGCATTCGCAAGCGCGTGATTCGACGCGCTCGCAAGGTCGCCAAGAAGAGCAAGTCGGGGAAGAGCAGTGGATCGTCGAGGAGTTCCGGAGCTTCGGAGGACACAGGTGCAGAGGAGGTCAACGACCTGGGGCTCTTCGATCCAGAGACACGCCTGCAGAGAGTTGCGGAGCTTTACCCTGGTGTTCTCACCGCTCAAGCTCTGAAGGGGATGCGTGCCAGCTTGCTTCAAAGCATTGGCTCCGACGACCAGTCCGGGCCCCCCCAGGCGATTTCACTGGCCTATTACCGCCAACAGTTGCAGAGGCGAGCATCAGGACCAGCACAGAGGGAATTGATCACCATCTGCGCGGCGCTGGACGCATTGATGAAGGGTGCGGCTTCAAAAGGGACAGACATCCTATGCCAGCGCCTGAAGTCAATAGAAGCGGTGATGTCGGGCACACACTGGTCAGTGGCTCAGAGGCTGGAGATCTCGCCGCAAGAGGCCCAGGTCTTAGCTGCAAAGGAGGAATTATCGGGGGCTCAAAAAGAAGCGTACGACGATTCCAAAGTGCGCTACCTCTCGAGCCTCCAAGACGGTCGAAAGGGGAAGAGCAAGGGCAAGGAGCGAGAGAGCACCGACCACAACAAGGGCAAGGGGAAGCAGAAGAGCGGCAAGAGTGGCAAGGAGAAGAAGGACGAGCAGGTGAGCAAATGAGCTCCTGGGAGCGGGAGCTACCTATGAGCATTGATGGTGAGGAGTCGAGCTCCTGTGGACGGGAGCTGACGCTTCAGTTGGATGGAGAGGAGTTGAGCTCCGTTGCACAAGAGGAGCTGTTGAGTGGTTTTGGGCCATGGCCGGCAGCATTGAGTGTCGCACAACGCAGCTTGG